CACACACACACACACACACACACACACACACACACAGCAGGCTGTGCACATAATGAAAAGCAGAAATGTTTTCCCATGTGAAGCGCAGACAGGAGCGCTGCAAACAGGGGGCCCGGATCGTGGGAGCAGGCAGGACGCTGACATGTTTTGCAGCCAGTGTAAAAGCAATACAAATAATAAATAAATAGGATAAATAACTCTAATTAAAAAAACAACAACAACACAGAACGTACAAGACTGATCCGCTATTACGCAAATACGCGGGCCTACTTGGACTAATCAGATCCGCTGAGCGGTGTCGCTCAGTGCGTCCAGCCGAAAGGAAACCTTCCGCCGAGCCTCCAGCTCCAGAGTCCCCGGTCCTCCCCACCCTCTCTGCCCGGCACAGGGTTGGGGGGAAATCCGGATTCGTGACAGCAGTGAAGGCTCCCTCTCCCCCACCCCACCCCCCCAGCGCTGCGGTGACGAGAGTCCGGGCTCGCAGAGGCGCACCGAGGCGTCAGTGTTATTATCGAGAACCTGTTGGGGGGTGCGGGGGGGGGGGGGGGGGTACAAGAAATATATTGCTGAATATCCTCCAAAACTCACCTCCGAAAGCGCCGCTTCGATGATTTAAAGGGCCAGATCCGCTTGTTTTTTTTTTCCTTTTCCCTCACCCGGGTCTCCGCTCCGCTCCTCGGCTCCCCCCTCCAGCCCCTTCACTCCCCCCCCACCACCACCTCTGCTTCACCGAGCCAAACGCCTCCCCCCTCTATAGAGTCTGTCCACTCCCCTCATTCTCTTCCCCCTGCTTTCCCCTCTTCCTCTGATATAAGCAACTAGTTTTTAAACCAGGCAGCACACATAGCTACCTGGGATTGTAATCCCTTCTGATAGGAGCGTTGGAGATTTCCCAGAATAATAATCCAGGGGTGACATGAAGAAGGGACCAATGGGGGCAACAGCCCTCCCTGTATACTTGCTGTGTGCCCCCTGGCTAATCTTGTGCATTCTAGTAAGCAAAACCTCTCTCTCATGAACCGCTTTTAAAGAAACAAAAACTGACAACAACTGAGCCAAACTAATCCAATGTGGCTGCATCTAATCAACCTTTAACGCTCAGTCAGTTTGGATCACGCAACATGTTTGTTTACCATGCAACAGCTAACATTCTTTTAAGGAATTTGTATTTGTTAACGAGGACTTAAAGGGATCCACGATTAGTTGTAACATTAAACTTTATTGGATAAACATCTATTTTAACTGTAATATAAAGACTACAAAATACTGCAGGTTGTTTAGTTTTGTAAATATTTTAAAATATATTTTAACATGGACGGAGCCATTTTATTTAAACGCAAAGCATTCTGGGTAAATGATGACATCAACTAGGTCATCGGTGCGAGGCTGCTAGCGAGCTATATCCACCCTGAAGGTTAATCTTGGACAATA